ATAGCAAAGCTTTATGTTGCATCTCCAGTGCCTTATCTTCTTTTCATTCCAAAAACCCCAACTCTTCTTCGCTTTTCTTAAAAAGGAGTATTTCGGATATTGTAAATTCATCTTCAATTATGTTACATAAAAAAAGTTTATGAAGTATGCAAACGTACATTTAAATAATTTCAAATCGGTAAACCTTATTTGGCTTTAAATCATGTAGTTTTGCGCCATAGGGGTCCAATTTATCTTTAACTTTTGCAAATCCACCGGGTGTATTATTACTGGATGGGTATACTTTCAGAGAATGTTAACAAAATCCGGGCCGGTTTCGGTCCCACAGCGTAATTTGAGTTTAACTTTTTAGACAGGCCCACCTCTCTTCAAGCACCTCAAAAATAGTTTAACTGTTGCATAGTATTTTAATCACAGCACTTTTTAACTATATTCGACTTTTCAAACAGGTGGCACCCCTCCCCAATGTAATTAAAAAATAAAGCTTATTTAAAACCATCGATTGATACCTATATTGGGGTAATTTATTTAACTTATTAAATAATTTGATTTTGATTTTCTTACATATGGCACAATACTGAAACCATATTACACATCTACAGGGCAAGCCCTTTCATTTAACACCTACCTCCATTTTGAACATCGAACGAACGATACAGATTTTATGACTTGGTGTTAAATATTTAACGTAAACATCTGCGGAAGCGATTATTTGAATTTGACACCTCATTTTTTTTAATTGAACGAACGATACAGATTTTATGACTTAGTGTTAAATATTTAACGCAAACATCTCCGAACTCGATTAAGAAGTTTCAATTAAAAATATTTTTGAAAAATTCTAAAAAATTTGAATTAAATCGAATTTGCGCCACCAAATTTCGAATCGAATAATCAAATGGTTGGGCAATGTTCGAAATTCGGAAAAAATCGAATTTCAACCCCCCACTACCCATCCCTACTCTCTTATTTACGAACACATGCGCAAGCAAGACCGTTAACACGTTATTGTTCGCCAGTATGAATTAGCACATACTATTTTTTACATATGTATAATCAATTTAAACTTTATTAATAAAAAAAATTAAATTGGTCGGCATTTCATGATGTTGAATTATTTTTAATAAATAGACTACAAATATAGTTAGAAATTGTTCCTCTATAAACAAAGAGGTGAATATAATAGCCTTTGGCAATATATATTGCGTAAAATGGGTTAATACACGTACACGGCTATTGCTTACCCTTTCGGTTTTAAATTCTTACCCCGCATCTAGCACCTGCTTGCCCGCGCTGCTGCGCGCGAGCTGCTCTGCCTCCCATCCCTAAAGTAACTCATTACGTCAGTTTACTTAGGTGTTCAATTTGATAGTTTTGAATGTATACAAAATGTCTATCAGCTGTTCTTCTTACTTGCAAGTTTCTGCAAATTTTCTGTTCGCACTATTCTGAATATTTTTCTCTTGTGAGAGAACAGATAACATTTCGACGAAATTTTGATGCCGGATATTTTTTACTGGAGGTCTTAAATGAACGTACCTAATATCATATTGAATATTAAAATTATGTAATGTATGAATATGGTTGCAATGTTTCGCAACTCTGCATATACAGACACTTTAAATACCTCAGTAGAACAGTATCCAAACATTGTATTGGTACGTTTTGGAAGTTAGCCAAACTCTCTTCCGGTAAATATCGCATATAACGTCTTTCTTCGCTGTCAAATATGCTTAAGGCTCAGTTATGCATACTTTGCACTGCCCTGCATAGCATGTAATTTTACGTAGAAACCAAAAATCAACAGAATTCTACATATGTAATGCTGTGTGTTGGGTAACTACTTACACGCAAAGCTTATTTAACCGATTTCTTATGTGACAACTCTTACGCAATTCCAAGTAGGGCCGTAGAGTTCTGACAAAATATTTTTTATTTTAACTTTTATTTCAACATAGATTGGTTAAAAATACTGATAATAATAAAATATTTCACACAAACAGGATTGAAATTTTGAAATTCCTGCCCGTGTTTTGTTTGTAAGTCAAATATTAGTGGCATTGTGCTACTATGATTGCACGGCCGAGTAATCATAGTCAACTTATGTACAGTAGTCGAAAAAACTATAGCCGCACCAAATTTTGACAAGTTTTAAAATACTATTTTTGTTGTTATTTAATTTTGGTTAGTTTTTTATATTTCATTCTTTAAGAGCGTCCGTATAAATACAAGTTTAAAGGCGGTGTCACACGATGTGGTATTTCCCGAAATGTAGTGCAAATCCTATCCCAATTGTGTGACTACCCAAATATTTTTCTTTATCCCATCAGGAAAAATCATTTGTTGAAATTTTTCAATAGAAGATGGATGTATTGTACCAACCTTTTGACCACAAAAAAAAATGCCCCCAATATTTTTATTTTGTACCAATAGCCTAATATAAAAAGGCACAAATTTGTACAAATGCACCAATCGAGTAACACAGCCTTAAAAATTTATGCAATTTAAAAAGAAAATATCAACAAATCTTCGTTAAAACTTCTAGTTTTTAATTACATTCTGAGTATGCAGTTTTGTAGCCCATTGAATTCTAGTAGAATAAAGTACAAGTTTCAAATGGCAAAAAATTACGGTTGATTTTTTGGAATTTTTAAAAAAGCTCGAAATTTTGTTTGTTGATTTTTTTTTAATATTGCACAAAGTTGGAAACTTGGATTTTCATGGGGTTTGTTAAAGAATGAACTATATTTTTATAACAAAAAAATTCAAAATTAAATAACATTAATAATACATAAAAACTTGGCAAAAAGTAGGTCAGGTATAGTTTTTTGACCACTGTATGTATTTTTTTATATATTTAATTGGGCATGCACATTATAAATAACGGTACGGGATGTTAATTTTTCGTTTTTTACGGTCCCGAGATTTTCGGAGTTTCTCACAATCCCGGGATTAGTCCCGGGATTTAGATGTTCATTACTTCTCAACAACTTAAATCGAATCTATATTGTTTGAGAAGCTCTCCCGCCATAAAAAAAAATAATAAATAAATGGGTTTGAAACCTACTTTATTATTTAAAGTGGCATTTTTATTTTTTCTCTCTGACGTCAAGATTTATTTTAAAGGACTTTGTAATTTCACACATAGGAAATGAAAGGGAAATTTCTTTAGAATTAAAAAAAAATTAAATTTTTTGGATTCACAAGGACGAATAGGTAATTTTTTAAGCTGATAAAGTTAGATTTGAGGATGTTATTGACTTTATAAGTCCTTAACATATAATTTTTTCAAAAACAAATATTGCGAAACTTCAGGGATACCATTTTAAAAGGACATGTTCAATACTTACCAGTCCTTATGCACCGCTTAAATTCTACAGAATTTCCTCTTTAATTTGGATCCCATACTTCTTCTCTAAGGAGATTTCACTAAATTTTTAGAATACCTAAAAATTTAGAATTATTACCTGGGTTATTTGAATATTATATCATACTTGATTCCAATAAATAAATGTTTGCCGCTTAAACGTTTTCTACGTGTTCGGCCGAGCTTCTCCTTCAATTTGTGCTCTGCTTCTTGATGATGTGACAGAAATGGAGAGATCTTCACTTTTACTCCACCTCCAAAGAAGCTTTTTTATGGCAGAGGGTATGTATGTACTAGTTTGCCATTGTCAGCCGAGGTGCCACCGCTATTTGAAAAACCTTTTCTTTTGGGGTTGCTGAGCCCTATTCTCAATCCGAAAAAGGTAAACAAAGATAGAATAAGACCAAACGTGAATTTTTCACCGATTTGTATTTTTTAATGTAAAAAAAATCAACTAATTTTGCTTTGCTTTCCTTTAAACAGAAGTTACATTTATTGTTAATAATTTTATTGTACTTTTTGGTCATGACTTCATACCAACATAAGCATTTTCACTGTTGAAAACCGGAAATCCGGAATGTCTAGTTTTTCCTTAATTTCAAAATTTGGAACAGGGTTTTTTCAAATTGCAATTTTTCGAATAACTCGAAACCCGTATTTGTAAAAAAAAACAGAGTAATCGAACACCCTCTTAGCTATTTTACCCATAGCTCTCGGTATGGGTAAAATTTGCGTTAACCCACCAGAAAATTTTTAACTGCTTGTGCAACCCAGCAGAAAATGTGTATGTAATTGCTTCTTGTGCGTTCAAATGAGTAGTTCACTAGTTTATGACCATATTTTATTAATTAATTAATATCGCGATTAGTTCGGGACTTGTTAAGGACTATTTGTAGACTAGTTCACAGCTATTTGAGATCCATTTTCGGACTAGGGGCCTGATCGAGGCACGTAATAAAAGCGGCATTACTGCTGCACTGAGAAAAATATGCAAGACTCGAACAAGGCATAGTTCTAGACGATTTTGAGGCCAGTTTAGGGCCATTTCGGAGCTGTTTCAGGACTAGTACATGACTATTTCAGGACCATTTCAAGATTAGCTCTGGACCGTTTGAGACAAGTTCGGGGTGATTTTGGGACTAGATAGGGTCCTTTTCAGAACTAGTACGTGATCACTTCAGGATAGCTCATGAAAATTTCAGGACCATTTTGGGCTAGTTTGCGATAATTTTGGGACTAGTAAGGCACCATTCGGGAGCATTTCACAACTTCTTCGTGATCCTTTCGAGAAAAGTTCAAGACCTTTCCAAATCCACTTTAAAACAATTATACTGAACAACATATGCCCCAAGTGGTTATGAAAAATTAATGTACTGGTCGCGACGAATTGAAGGAAATGAAATTAAGTTTTAATTTCTGACTTCACTTATTTATGTACATACATACATATGTAACTGATTTACACATTAAATTTCATGAGTACCTGGTACGCACGTTTTTTTTTATGCGAACTTGTTCGCCACCAAAACAATTGCGCGATTTAGGGTATTGGATATTTAAAATTTTGGCCATTTAATATTTTTGCACTTTCATCCTTCACAGCCAATATTGCGAAAAGTGTAAAGTCTAAGTATTAAACCAACAAAAAGATAAGCAAGCGATAGATTTATTATTATTTAAAAGCAATAATTTTATAATTTCATTGTTTTCACGTCGCTTAAAAGAATTGACGATTTTTAAGGTACTCCAACATTCCTTGGACATTAGCGTTCACCTGTGCTTGGGCAGCGGATTGTGAGCTCATCTGATTATTGGACAAGTGCATGTTCGCACCGCCATGGGATTGATTTGAGAAACTGTTTTGTTGTTGCGTTAAATGTGGAGGAAACAAATCCTTCGGTTGATGGTGATGTAGCATCTGAGACGGTTGAGGACATGAAGGGAACTGACGGAAGGACAGTATTGCCGGATCCATGGCAGTCCAGTCATTGGCCAAATTACCTACATTTCTATTATTTTGGTTCATTTGATGTGGTTGCATGTCATTGAAGTTAGGTATTTGATTCCGGGGCGATTGTAAGTGTGCATCCCAAGAGTTAAGAGCTGACAAATATTGAATATCATTTGAATGTGCTCTATTACCAGTCATATTCGAAAATGGCATCATTTTGCTAGCACTGTGTTCCCGCGGTGCGTTCAATCCAAACGTATTCATGTGATTAAAGCCCGGTGGTGGCATGCGAGCTCTTTGCATGTTATCCATACTGAGCTGATGCTGATGCATCATATTGGATTCAGCCGCTGCTCGCAAATTAGACTTAGAATGATGCGGTGGCTTAACCACTTCGTTTTCCATTAGCTCAGCCAAACCCTTCTGAGTTTCAGTAAATGGATCGAATCCCAAATCATCATCAACGAAAGTGTTTGCCGAAAACTCGTTTTGTATGCGGCTGTGCTGGTTCTGAAGTAAGGGATGTTGTTGGGTCTGAATGGTGGAGTGGTGCTGCTGCAGAGCTAACATTGAATCAAGCTGGACAAGATTTCTTTGTTTTTGTTGTTGCTGCTGTTGGTGTTGCTGCTGTTGCTGCAGAGAAGAAAGACCTGAGTGCTGCATAAACTGATAGGGGTTCGAGTTGTTTTCTAAAATTGCATTACTTCCATTCCCGATCGGCTGCTCATTTGTGGCACAATGCTGCTGCAACTGTAGTTGCTGGTTCTTATGAAAATCAAAGAACTTCGACATGTTTATGCCATAGAGATTTTGACTCAATAGAAGTTCAGAAGCATGCTCCAAAGTTGTCAGTGGTGATTGCCCCATATCGGTGAGACTACCAAATTGAGTTTGCAACCCACTTGGTGGCACATTGGGCTGCGATAGATTCATATTTCCAAATAGACTATTTTGTTTGTGTAGTTCAAGTAATCGTGCCAGTTCTTTTTGTTGATGGGGATGTACTTGTTGAAATTGCTGCTCTTCGATACCTTTTAGTAAGTCGGGCAATGGTGATATTTTAACATTATTCAATTGACTTGACAAATCATCCACTTTATTTTCTGGTCGCATTGGATTATGAACTGATGTTGCTGGAGAGAACATTGGAGTTACTTTGTTATCGAATAAGTTGAGTTGTGCAAGGCATGAATTTGTATCAGGAACGTCGATTTCGTCATTTTTCAATTTTGATTCTTCATACAGTCTATCCATCGCCAATTCTTCCACCTTACTGTTTTCGCTTTCCTTACAATCAGTTAGTTCCTTTAAAGACACTTCAGCACTTTCAAATAGTTCCGCTGAAGCATTTGCGTTGTTCATACTAATAATGGACTTTTCGATTTCGGTTTCGCCAATATTCTTTTCATCGGCATCGAATTTTTTATTGTCACTTTCGTCGACACACTTTTTCGAAGCCTTTGGCTTATTTATTTTACCCTTCGCTATACTGGTGCCGCTACTGTTCGAAGTAATGTCCCGATCTTGGACAGGGCTGGCAAATTCAGATGCCATTCCATTAGCAGGCGTTTCTGCTCCATCTTTGATGTCCCCGAGATTGCTGCTACACTCCATCTGTGTATTGCCGACATAACTTTTACATACATCATTAACACTATTTTTATTTTTTGATTTTGTATTTTTGTCATTTTTGACCTTTTCGTGCCGACCCCGTTCCTTTTTATGTTTGGCTTCACTTGAACTTGTGCCTACCATGTCTTTGTTTACTGGTGAAACCGATAATATAAGACCGGGGTCAGCCGCTGTTTCAACAGAAGAACCACTAGATCCACATGCTAATGAAGGTGAAGCTCCCGCTGACGAGGTCGTGGCCTGAGACTGCGAACTGGAATTTGATTTATTGCTTTTATTATTAGCCGTACCGTGATTATTTTCTCCGCCGTTACTTCCCCATACCGGAACACCGGAGCTCCCATTGGCTTGATTTGCATCACTCGAGCCGCTCGCACCAGAGCTATTGGAGCTCACTGCTAATGCGTCATGTAGACGTTTCTCATACTCCTGGTGTTTCCCTTGATGCATTTCTTCTTTAGTAAAGCTAGCCTCTGGATCACCCAACTCATGAAGATACATACAATCGCCTTTGGGGCACACTTGATTTTTCATAAAATGGCTGCAATACTTCGTAGTTCCCAAACTGGTTTTTATAAGTCTACCATCTATTATAATATTACGAGTATTGACACTTTGTATGGCCCTCAGAGCGTCATGATTATTCACATAGGTGACGTAGGCCGATGCGGATGGCCCCTGCACTCCGGCATAGGCAGTGCTGGGATTTATCACAACTTTATGTATCTTGCCGTATTTACCGAAGTACTCATGTTTCTTGAGCACCTCGGCATCTGCCAGTCGTGGCGGTAGGCCGACCACAAATACTAAATTCCTTTGAACCACTCTCACATTCGATAAATGTTTGCGATTCTCTGTTACGCGAACCTTCTGCTTACGCTTTTGGTCGCGTTGCTTTTTCTGTGACTTGAAGGCCAGAATCTGCTCCTGAGTCAGGGGCGTGAAATCCGCAGGATTTTCAGTATACTCCTTACGGCATGCTGGACACAGTTTATTCTCGTCGGTGCGTATCCTGTGCCAACAGAATCGGCAAATTTGGTAGCCACAGGTGCATGGAAAGAAGTTCAGATCATCGACCTCCAAGGGCTCCATACAAAGCGGGCATTCAACTACGTCTTCGTTGTTATCCATATCGTTTTTACAACAAACCTTTAACTGTCTAAAATCAGGCAAAGCAGACACGGATGCTCCAGTTACGTAGGTGAATTATTGGTTTTGAGTTCAAGCCTTTCTTCTGTCACAGGGTCAGGAGCTGTGTAAATAGAAAAATAAGATTTTATGAATTTGGGTAATATATATATAATATATGTTTACATAATTCTAAATATACAGATGTATAGTATATGCACACACAAATGCAGACATCTTTCAACAGATGTACTTTGCTTGAGAAACGAAATCGTCTACATGATTAAGTGCGTATCTCCCACGAATAGTGTTTTTTAAAGACTTTTGTACTAAGCTTATAGCTCAGTTATGCATACTTAGCGTTGCATGCGAGTTGTCACATAAGGAATCTGTTAAATGGGCTTTGCGTGTAAGCGGTTACCCAACGCATAGCACTTCATACATAGAATTCTGTTGGGTTTTGATTTTTACGTAAAAATGTTATAGCAGTGCAAAGTATGCATAACTGGGCTATTACACAAGTACATATGAGTATATATGTATGTACATCCATAGTTGAATATAGCATACATGCATACATACATACAGATGTATCTATGTACATAGACACATGGCAATATAAAAAACAAATGCTTAGAGATGTTTACTAAGCATAGATATTTACACAGCAGAGAAAGTAATAGGTACAACTATAGTAGAATAATAGCCGTCATCGATTCGCCACTTCTCGCTCGCTATGTTTGAGTTCCGGTCACTTAAAGAAGTTAGCTAGCACGGATAGACGATTTTGCGAATTTGGTTGTACCTCATTGAGTTCGTTCGTTTCGCCACTCGCTAACTGTTGGCGAATCGATGACGGCTAATGGTATTTTTTCGCGATTCTTCCCACCCTCCCCCCGATGTGCAAGTACGCACATACATACTGAGCACTCACTTATTCTCAAAACTTCCTCTGAAATAATTTTAATAATTGTATCTAATATACGCTTTTAACACATAAACTGCGGGCCCTAAATGTGCACACATGCACACATTGGTTACAACTGCACTTCGATACGAGCAACGCGACCTCCAGAGAGAATTACCACCGAGTTTCACAATAACTTTAAAAATCAAAACAGGAATCCATACTGCTGCCTGCGAACCGTCCAGTCTGTCATTTAAACATGACATACGCGAAGAGGAACACAAAATAGCCGAAATGGAAAAGGATTTCGCTTTGTGTCATCGCGCCAGTTGAGAGTTGGTATTCCGGTAAAAACAGTCGTATGAAGATTTGGAATAGTACTCATTTGAGTGTGTACCGCCGTGAATGAAACGCCTTTATTTATATTTCAGTGTGATTGTGTCTAATTTGAACGGAAAAAAGTAAAGAAATATACGTTCAGGCGCAACCAAACTTTATATACCCAACGCAGGTATCAAATATCGCGTTTTCCCTTTCGGTTAACTGCATGATAATCCAGGGCGTTTTTCCCCGCTTTCAGACATTTTCGATAATATGCTAAATTAGACTTCATGAAATAATTGAACCGCGTTTGGTAGAAATCGATAACTCGCTTTCCGATATACACTTATGTGTGATAATCCCACGATGCAGAAAATGAAGGTGGCGCCATTCGCGGACCGCTAACCCTCTTCGTCGAGTTGACAGCATCCACTCATTCGCTGACGTCACACAATACTTTTGTTTACATTCGCTGTTGCCACCTTGTGATTTTCGCACCAAATTTAGTGGGTATTCAAAACGCGAAAATTTTTGAGTTTAGTGCTTGGTGCGTTTTTGGTGCTTTTGTTCTTAGTTTGAACACACAAAATCTTAAAAAATGGAAGCAAAATTTATATCAATCGTAAGTGTGATAAGCAACTTTACAAAAATTTAAAGAAAATCATGGCACAGTGACAATCATAACCGACAACAAAATATGTGGCAGCACCGTCAATCATGCCAGAAGAAATCGACCGTCGTGCAAGAAACATTGATTTTTGTTAATTTGAATCGGCATCGTTACAATAAAGTTATGTAAATATGTATATAAAGTCCATAAAATACACCAATAAAAATTTGGTGCTTTTTCAAATTCAAAGCTTGGCAATACTGCCTTTTGTTTGATGCTTCCTCTTTTTCTTGTCGAGTTGTCGAGTCTTGCTCTCTCATTCTGGTATTTGTTGACGTCACGCCTGGTTGCTCTCAGCTCGATTGGCGCAATCTTGTATTCTATCATTCTTGTGGTAATCCCATTTATAGCTTAGGGAATATTGCAAACATCGATTTTGAGTGAAGCAGCATTGGTGGTTACTGTCTTATCGCAGTTTTCATATCTCTGTAAATTTTCGTTATATGGGAGGTGGGTGGGATATTGTCCGATTTCCAAAATTTTCAAGAGGTATTTTCATCTTAGTGAGACTCTAAGCAATGTTCGTACCGAGTTTGGTGGTTAGTAAAGCTGCTACTTAGATACAGCACTCCAACACAAGTGGGCGATGCCACGCCCATTTTCCATAACTGGTATCATTGTCTCATTTTATACCAAATCTTACTTCACAATCCAACTTTCAGCAATTTGGAACCAGTATATGCGGATATACCGCTTTTATAATTTTTCGAAAATTCCGTTATATGGGAGGGGGAGTGGTTATTGTCCGATTTCGCCCATTTTCAATACCAACCTAGCTGGGATAAAGCGAAGTCTATGTACCAAATTTCTTGAGATATCGAGTTATCGTGATCACGGACGGATGGACAGACAGACTGGCTTAATCGATTTCCGTTTTCATATATACATATGTGCATACATACATTACATACATACATAGGTACATTAAACTGCATCACCAAAAAAAAGTTGCTGTCTTTCCGCCGGAATGACAAAGTGTATTATTTTTGAAGATGTCCACCAAAATATTTCAGAAAAATATTAAGATTTACGTGAGCTGGACCGATTTGAAAATACCTCCAAAAATCGAGTTTTTTTTTATGAATAAAATAGGTTCTTAAAGAACTTTTTGAAAAAAATCCCCTCCGATGACAGAACAGATTAAGTTCAAAAAACCTGCATAAAAATATTTAAAACTCTTTTCAACGGAATCGTAATAATGAGATTTTTGATGCAGTTTTTTTAACTTTTTTCAAAGATTGATTTACGAAAAAATTTAATAACTGGGCCAAAACTATTCTGATTTAGACTTATGGGGCCTCAGTAGAAAGGTATTTTCGCACTCGTTTTCTTTCGTTTCTGTGCAAATGATTCACTTCCAAATTTTTTTTTTCAAATACCAACACATCTTGATTCAACTTGGAATGACGCTCGTTCATCCTACCTTTCTCTTTCATCCTTTGAATGAGTTTATTAGCAAAGAAATAAAATGATATCTCATAAGTCTAAATCGGAATAGTTTAGGTCCAGTTATTCAAGTTTTTCTTATACCAATCATTGAAAGAAGTTAAAAAAACACCATCAAAAATCTCATTATTAGGATTCCGTTGAACATTTTACATTTTTTTTATATCTTTATGCAAATTTTTTAAACTTAAACCGTTTTGTCATTTGAAGGTATTTTTTTCAAAAAAAAATCTTTAAGAAACTATTTTTATTAATAAAAAACTTCATTTTTGGAGATATTTTCAAGTCGGTCCAGCTCACGTAAATCTTAATACTTTTCCGTAATATTTTGGTGGAAGTCTTAAAATATAATAGATTTTATAATTCCAATGGAAAAAGTACCGATTTTTTTTTGTATGGGGAGTGATGTAGTCTAATGTACATATGTATGCCTATATCTAAATTTTCTCCTTTAGACTTTCACATACAACCGTTATCCGAACTATGTTATAATACCCATGTGCACAAGTGCGCTCAGGTATAAAAAATTAAACGCAACTAGCACAATATTGCACAAGAGCAGCAGCAACCCGTTTCACCACTTCACTGCCCTGTAGATTCATTTTTTTCTGGTTGTTCGCTTTTTTGTTTAAACTGCGAAAGGGATGATGTGAAGGTTCACCCCTTCGCGTACCTTTAAAGTGAAAAAAACAATGCAATCTCTCAAACGAACGAAACTGATTGTGAAGTTGGGTGTTTTACTAATCGAGTTGTTTTTTACAGTTTTGTTGCACGCTTGAATTTTTTAAAGTATGCACTCTGCTGGTGCAATAGTCGCAAAAGTTAACTCACACGTCGCAGATGGGAAGAGTAACGCGAAAGGACGTTTAAAAATTTCCAAAGTAACCCAAACATACACACACGCGCGCGCGCATCGAAAGTCAACGACGTAGTGAGGAACAGATAAATCCTTGGGATGACGTTTGAAACGTCAGACGCGCTCGTTCACTCGAGAACTAAAACGGTTGTCGATGCTTTTCATGTGAAACACCACCAACTGAACGACCGTTTTACGAAAGCAAGACGAATATGAATTTTCCGCGTGTGCGCAAATTGTATTTTAAAATGTAAAAAGAAAGCTGCAAACATGGTTTTAACCTTAAAATAATCAAATAGCCACCTAAAAACGCAGCATTGGAACCGCCAAAATATTGAAAAGGTTTACAATTACTTAACAAATAAAGTGACTTTTGTGTTATAATCAGTGTAAGGAAAAAAGTAAAAAAAAATTAAACCATTTCACGCGCCGGTATTTCAACTAATTATGCATTTTAAAATTTAGTTTAAACCTTCATCGACTTATTGGCCATTTGGTAAGTTACGGTAGGACGTACACGCTCGTACCTAGCATTACTTCTTGTAATTATTATAATAAAATAATTTTTTTAAAATTGCTAATACAATCGTTGCCAGCGCTCATAAGGGTTACGCTATGTGAAATTTAAAGTTTTGCCTTGTCAACCAGCTTTCCTTGTGTTAGAGGGGGTAGAAATACATGTATTTGTGGGTGTAAGCGTTTGAATGTAGTGGGAAGGCAGCAATAATGATGGTGGCAGATGTCCGCCATATTGGCGAGCATCTTACTTTTGGTTCGATGTGTACGTTATTGCCATTCGTGAACGAGGCTTTCTGCACAAATATAAAGTAGCAAAAATGTTAAAATAGTGAAAAAATGGCCGAGCGCAACTTTAAAGTTGGTCAAAAAGTTCAAATTGTGGGTAAAAATCTATGTGGGCAAGTGGCGTACGTGGGCTCGACTAGCTTCTCACCTGGAAAGTGGATAGGCGTGGTGCTGGACGAAAAGGACAAAGGAAAAAATAATGGCAGTGTCAGGGGCATCACCTACTTCAAATGTGCACCGAATTGTGGACTCTTTGTGCGGCCAGCACAAGTAAATTTAGTGTTAGCTAAGGAAACCGAAGAAATGGCAGAGTCATCAGTACCACAAGAGGCTAGGCAAGGCAGCGGTATGAAATCGCACAACAGTGAGAAAATTTCCACAGCAGCACCAGTGGCAAATACTGCAGCGCTTAATCAAAAACCACCAAACGGTGGCACTTCTATCGTTAAGGCACCCTCAGACCAGCCTTTATTGCAAAGCTCAGCTAACGGCAGCACAGCAGGAACTTCAAATGGCAGTATGCTGAAAGCAACCAAAATCAATAAGCCTTTGCAGGCAAATCGGCGTATTGTCTCTTCCAACACCCAGCTGGAGTTGTCGTTTTCAAGCACAACAGTGTCTGTAGCTGCACCTAAACGCAGTAAAACTACAGTCAGCCCTTCGGAATCCTTTTCTTGTGCTCGTCAGCGTTCTGCGTTTGTGGAAACGGGTTTCCTGGAGATACTTCATACGCAATTCACTCCAGGCCACCCACTACGTTCCCCGACTGTGTTCAGCATCCACAGTGGTCTGGCCAGTGGTGTCGCAATCAGTCCAACAGAGCAACTGCTTCAACAGAAACAATTACAACAAAGATGCAAGGACTTAGAGACGCGTAATGGGGAGTTAAGTGCAGAGCTGGAAGATTTAAAAAGTCAGCGCGCGGAGGACAAAAGGCGTTTGCATGAGTTGGAAAGAGTCCGCTTGCAAAAGGACCAGTTGAGTGAGTTCAAAACACAGATTATGGAGCAGCATAGCTTGGTGCAACGAGAATTACAACGCTGTCGGCAAGAGCTGAGGGAAGCCAATGACTGCAAAACTAAATATAAGCGTGAACTAGACGAGGTAGCCGAAAGTATTGAACTACTAACACTGGACAAAGAAATGGCGGAAGAACGTGCAGAAACATTGCAAATAGAGTTGGAAACGGCAAATGAGCGCAATGAAGAGCTCAGTCTCGACGTCGAAATTTTGAGAGCTGAAATTGAAAATTCTACATCAACCCTGCTTGGCGACCGCCCAGATAATGAGTTGAAAGACGAACTTATACAACCAACAGCTGCGGAAATTAGGCGGCTTGAGCAGTATAACCAACGACTGCGAGAAACCGTTGTTCGGCTGCGCGATGTGTTGACAAACGAAAAGCAAGATCTACAAAAGACCCACAAGGAACTAGAAACAAAATCTTCTGAAATTTCCGAACTAAAAAAAACAAAGGAAATACTTTCAAGGCGCATTGATGTCATGGAAATGCATATTATAGAACTAAAAGAACAAGTCGACGCAGCACTGGGCGCAGAATCAATGGTTTCATCCCTGGTAGAGGCCAAGATCGATTTGGAGGAACGTGTGAAGTTATTGGAAGAAGAAGTTATGGAGCTAGAAGCGCTGGAGGAGATCCATGAACAAATAATCGAAGGCAATCAGGAATTGGAAATGGATTTGAGGGAAGAAATCGATGCCCTCAATTCAACTATAAAAATGTTACAGCAGGAGAAGAACAATACACTGGAAGAGATATACGACCGCGAAGTGACTATTACGAAATTCCGAGATCTCGTCAAAACATTGAATAATAACGTGCTGCTAAAAGATCAGCCCACAAATGCTTTGGGCGCAGGTACGGGCACATCCACTTCAGATGATCTCAGTACTCTCTCAAATCAGGACGAAACACAGAGTATCGACTTTAATCAAATGTTTTATTTAACAAAGGCTTTCAAACGAGCTATCGATTTGCAGTTGAATGAAATTGAATTAAAACTATGCAAGGCTCACGTTGACCACCTTTTGGCGTTCGTGCCTGAGGATATCCTACTTCGGGGCAGCGAGCATGACATCATATTAGTGCTACTACTGCTGCAGCGTATGTACGAAAAGTTGGAAATAATTTGCCACACGATCGATGAAAAGTTTCCAACCTCGTGTGAATTCGCTAAAAACGCAATATTTGAGGGATTTTCCGTGCACCGGTTCGCCTTTCGTTGCAAATGTCTTTTTGTGTTGCGAAGTCTTAAATTGGTGATAAAACAGCTAATATTTGGGTTAAATCATTGCGATTACGAGGTATGCACGCATGCAGCTATTTATCGAGGAGAAATGGAGTCGCAAGAGAAGTCTATCGACGAGTTGATTAATCGCTTGAAAGGCGATATGCTTGACGAAAACACACCAATGGAAACAGTTGAGCGCACTCTATCGTTTTTCAGTGCACTGTACACGAATCTTATTTGCTCGCATAACATCGCTGAATTGGCTGATGAGCATCAGCTTTACGTGATGTTGGTGGAAGTACTCGAAGTATGCTTGGACTGCATCAATACGAATGCTGGAATACTGCACACTTTAATACAGTTGGGCGATGAAAACACGGAGTCCTTCTGGGCCATGCAGTTTCTGATGGAAAACGTGACCCAATTCAAGCTTAAGCTGAGGAAGCTACAGCGCAAGCTTCCTTCTACTCCGGTTGACATTTCTGGCATGCAAAAGCCGCAGACTGAGCGTATACAACGCATTCTGTGCACCAACGATCAGTTCGGGCGTTTTATTAATATTTTAACAGCAACGACAAAGGATGCAACCAAGGACATAGCTGCATCCTCTTTCGCCAACAAAGAAGACTTTCCGTGCGATGGAGCAATCGAGCATAAAAAGCTTTGGAAAATCATTACAGCGAACTGTTCGAAATCCGCCGCCGAAGAAAAGGGGACGACTCCAGTCGCTCTATTCCATCAGTGCATCCAGGTATTGGACGAACAAATAAATGATCTCTCCAACTTCATCTCGGAAAACGAATCTGTGCGCAGTGCAAATAAAAACACAATGTTTGTACGCTCCTCGGCCACCACTCTGTTACTGCGATCAATGCAATTTAAACAACATTCTGATGACATAAAAACGTTGAAGCACATATTAGTTGAACGTGATAAAGAAATCAAAACGCAGAAGTACTTGGCGAAGATAAAGCAGAATGAATTCTCTGAAATGCAAGTACGCAAGGAGATTGCAGAGCATAACTTGTCAAAGGCTCAACGCAATCAGGAGGAGACTCTGACCAAAATCATCGAGCAAATTGAAAATTTAGATAAAAGTATGTGCCATCGTGAAAATGTTGTCGGACAGTCATTAAATAATTTGCAGGAGAAAATTTCAACAATGGAACTGAACTATGCGCGTCTTGAACAAAATCTTGTCTCCCGCAAGCAGGTAATCAATCTGACTGCAGATGAAAGCTATCGCGAAATTGATACCCTCAACAAATGCTTACGTTACGAAAGAGCAGAACGAATCAAACTTCACATCAATGCAATGAAGATGCGCATGCGCAGTTTTGATCCTCTACACGTGCCACAAAATAAACAGGTTCCAAGTGTAGCAGAACTAAGACTCACCAACGAGTTGCGAATGCTGAAAAATCAATGGATACTTTCACATATCAAATTAAAACCAAATGTTGAAACCGAGCGATGCGCCCTCAAACGTAAATCAAATGAACTACTCCAACGAGCCTTGAGCACATACTTCCTGACCCATCCGCACCGCAGCACACCCAGCCATTTTGGCTCTTTCGGCTCGAAGGACTTAAATCAAATATTCAATTGAAAGCTTTAATAATAGAAACAGTCGATTTGTTTTTATTTGCTTTAACAAAAGAAAAAAAACATACATAAATATAGTTATGCAGTTTAGATACAAATACGCATTCACTGGTGGCAGAAATAATAGAAAGACCTTAAGTATTTTGACCAGTTTTGGTGATAAACATTTCCTTTGTCGATTAAATGTTTAATATATAAAAAAGATTTAGCTCATTATATAATTAACTGCATATAAATACAAAAATTATAAAAATTCAACGATCTTTTACCAAAATTTCAAACCTTTTATTTTTTTAGAAATTCTAGGTATGCAGTTTTGTAGACCAATAAATTCTGGTATGATAAAATGCAAGTTGCAAGTGCCTAGAAAATGCCGTTCATTTTTGGGAGAAAAAATTATGAGTTTTATCAAAAAAATTTACTTTTAACCATTATTTTGAGATTTTAATACTTGCGATCAATCATAGTAATCACATTTTGAGTTTTATGGTATTGCTCAGAAAACGCAATCTTTTATTGGGATAAATTTTTTTGATCAAAAATAAAACCCATTTTTTCGTGATACTTTTTTGCTCTGAAGTAATAATTATTTTGTGAGTTGTTTTCTTTTTGATCAAAAATAATCATTATATTACGAGTTTTATATTTTTGATCAGAAATAATCATTATTTTTTGAGTTTTCTTTTGTTTTATCAAAAATAATGATTATTCTTTGAGTTTTATTATTTTGATCGAAAATAAAACTCATTTCTTGAGCGTTATTTTTTCTCTCAGAAATAAAAATTAACTTTTGAGTTTTATTTTTTTTTGGCAGATGGAAAAACTCAAAACGCGT